GTCACAAAATGGTACATGTAGAATCTGCTGAATTGGTCTGTTTTTGCTGTCTGTGTTTCAACAACAAAATAATTTAAATGTTAAGTGCCATTGACCTCTAGGCTCAAATGGAAGGTCCAGTGCTTACCCTACGCCACACGGCATGAAATGAGCATTCACTACATACCAGTTAAGCACTTTAAATATTACTAAAATGTGGTAACTCATTTTAATCCTTCCACTAGCCTTATGCAATTGTAGTTGTTAAGCACCATACCAGGCACTTATAGGTGCTCTGGTAGTGCAGTGGTTATGAATTGGGCTGCTAATCTCAAGGTCAGCAGTTTAAAACTACCAGCAGTTCTGCGGGAGAAAGATGAGGCTTACTGCTCCCATAAAGATTCACAGCCTTGGAAACCCTATGCTATGAGTCAGAACCGATTCCACAGCACATAACCACCAATTACCACAAAGGGCCCTTAAATCAGTTACGACTCATAGCAACCCTGCATAGTTTCCAAGGTTGTATATCTTTGCAGGAGCAAGACAGTCTCACCTTTCTCCTATGGAGCAGCTGGTGGACTTGAAGCACTGACCTTGTGGTTCACAATCCAGTGCTTAACCTACAGAGCCACCATGCTCCCTATGCAATAGGAACTTGGAATCATTATCCTCATTTTACAGAAGAAGAAAGGGGCAGAAAAAAGTTCAGTGTCTTGCTCAAAATTACACAGATAGTAAGTTAAGGGACAGTAATTATGTTCTCAAAACTTAGTGAAATCAAAGGTTTCTCTGAGGAAATCCCAACTGAACTGGGATTTGAAGGTTACGTAAACTAGCGAGAGATTATTCTGTTGTTGGTTAAGTGCCACAGAATCGGTTCTGACTATACCGAGCTTGTATAGGGTTTCTAAGGAGTGGATGGTGGGTTTGAACCACTGACCTTGTGGTTAGCAGTTTAGTGCATATCCTGCAGCACCACACCAGGACTCCACTCAGTCAAAAGGCATAAGGAAAAGGTCCTATGGAAGACAAAAGTATGTACCAGGAACTTACAAAAGAAAAGAACCTGAGCTTGGAGAAAACAGTGAACATATGCTATGACAGGAGTGAAAGGAAGAGGGTGCCCAGAGTATGGAGTAACGCAGGCAACAAATGGATCTCCTATGCAGTCGTGGAGTCCTGGTGGGATGCTGCAGGTTAATGCACTGAATTGCAAAGTTAGCTTGCACATCAAGGTCGTGGGTTCAAGTTCATCAGCAGCTCCTCAAAAACCCTATACAGGGTGGCTATGGGTTAGAACCGACTAGATGGCACTTAACAACAACGCAGTCACAGGATTTGGTGATCAACTGGATATCCAGAATGATGGAAGATGTAACAAATCATTTCTCAATTTCTGCCTAACATAACTTACAATGGATAACGGTGCCATTCACGAAGATAAATAAAGAACACTGAGTCACCCAGACTAAGGAAGATACCATGTTTGGTTATCTAGACAGTTAGATCATAGTGGTTTGTTTTCTATGTAAAGGCAGCTCAGGGCAACGAAAGTGTAGACAACTGATCCTTAGATGGCTACCAGGTTGTCTTGAAAGAAGAGGGCTTAGAGCTGAGTCAGCAAAAATTTACAAAAAACGGCCTTGAAAGCAAGTTAGAGATAGACCATCCAAACTGCCCCACAGGAACCAAAAGGAAGCGATGATTAACAGACTCGAACGTTCAGACTCACTGAAACTGAAAACGATAAAATAACTGTAGGACTTAGCGACTTGGGGACTATCAGTAACTTCAGCGAGAGGGAATTACTGATTGAAGTAGGTTACATAAATTAACGGTAAGTGAGAAAATGAGATACTTGAAAACAAACAACTCTGCACAAATTTGGCTACAAATGGGGGGGAAGAGAGGAGACAGCGGCAACCGTAGGAAAATGAGGGCGTCAAGACTTATTTTGTTTTGTTTTCTTACAGAAAAATGTGAGCATTTGTTTAAAATATGATAGGAAAAAATCTTTTGAGGAGAGATGGACGATACTAGAGAGACACCCCAGCAGTCACCCACCGCTTTCCGTAATCAACTCCCCTCGAATTCTCCTCTAAACCCCGCCAATTCCGCTCCCCTTCTCCACTCCGCAGGTATCTAGACTCCCCGCCTCCAGAGCCTCCAGCCACCGCGTCCTGCCGGCTCGGCTCCCAGGAGTTGCTCACCGCAATGGCCCCCTCGCTCAGTTGGCTGGCCATGGTTCCACGATGCCAACTCCCGCGCTTCTCGGTAGTACGGACTCCACTCCCGGGGTCCCGCGCGCTCCAAAGCGATTGGCCGAGGAGTTGCGCGCGCCACTCCACTTCCCGACGTGCGTGCGGCGTAGGGGCGGGGCCGGAGGCCAATCAGCAACCGCACTGGTCGAGACGCGGCGTGCGGCCCACGTGACCCGCCCAAGGGAGTTTGGGGTCCGGTCGCGGGATGGCGATGACTGGGGGCGGAGCCCCGAGCCGTGGCGCGCGCCAAGGGTTACGCGGATTCAGTTCAGGACGCAGTGGCCCAGTTCCGGAAGCTCTCCGAGCGGGCTCTAGAGAGCGTGCGTACCTGGCACACATTTTAGGAGGGAGACAGATTGAGTTAGAGCTACTAACTACTGGCCGAGCAGCGGTTTCCTTCATTCTTGAACAACCCAGTGCTGAACGCTTGCCAGTAAGTATCAGGCCCTTAGCTTGACATTTTGGAGACCTCTGAAGGTAAATGAGACTCAGCTCTCTACCCTAGGAATCCTGGTGTGCTGTAGGATCAGCACTGGACTGCGAACCCCAGCGTCGTCAGTTCAAACCTACCAGCTGCTCTTCGAAAACCCTATGAGTCGAAACAGACTGAACGGCACTTAACAACAATCCTATCTTAGAGCACAGTCTGTTGTGGGAGAATCTACTAAGAGTAGCTCAAACTGAAAGTAGTTATGCACCGACCCTCGAACAGACACGAAGTATACTTATGGAAGACCAGGGGAGGGCTACCAGAAAGAGGTACCATTTGAACGGAATCTGGAAAGATGTGTGAGAGTTTGCCAGGTGTGTGCTATGTGAGGATAGAATGTTCTTAGCGGAATAAATAGTCGACGCAAAAATTTTGGAGAGATTAAAAAGCCAGAAACAGGAGATAGCTTTAAGTTCAGAATGGTAGGATGCAGAGGAAAAAGCATGCTAGAGAATTAGAAAGGAAGCCAAAAATCGAATAATGAAAGGTTGGTACTGGTGTTCATGTGTACTAGGAAGAACATTGAAATTAAAGCATGACATCTGTATCAATGTGGAGGACAATTGAACTGAAGGTAAAAGGAGAGCAGGGAGACTAATTATGAAGCAAAAAAGGATGTCATACCATAGAACAATTGATTTCATTTGTGTTACCGTACTGGAGAAAAATATTAAAGGTTCCATGCTAAAGAACAAATAGATGTCAATGACATAGCCACAGAGGACTAGAACGGAGAATGAAGTGTCCAGCTGATGTGAAGCGTCCAGCTGATGAGTGGGCATATGCACACTTGTAGTTAATACCCACTTGACCTGGCTTCAATGGCTGGATGATCAGAGCACATCTAGAAGAAGAAAGAAGAGGGGAAAAAAGAGTAATCTGATACAATTTGATGAACTACCTACACCTGTGGATGCAGTAGCTCTAAAGAGGGAACAAATCTTTACAGCAAGGATAATTCCCACCCCTTCCATACACAGAGTAGACAGGGATGGGCAACATGGACATTGGCTACCCAAAATGGGGGTGGGGGACTACAAAGGCAAGAAGTGACTGGCTTATAAGCTTTCAAGAGGGAGCCTAGATCCAGAGGGCGTTGAGAAAGGTAGAATCTCACTGAGTAGTATCCATTCTGTCTGGGCGGGGCTGATGAAAGGAGATGGGGATAGGTCTCTTGTGATACAATAGTGAATAATTGTTATAAGGACTGATTTTGAGGGTTGGAAATGTAAAGGTAGACGTTTTGTAGCAAAGGAGGGGAGTGGAGTGGAGGTCCCTAGGACCATCAATGGAGAAGAGTGGAGAGCGGGACCCTACCCAGAGAAGCAGTGACGCCAGAGATGGAGGCAGAGAAGATGACATGGAGAAATGGAGCAGCTGAGGACTTTAGACCCAGAGAGGGAGAGGGGCTGTGTGCTGACGACGGAGGGTGGGGAGTGGGTAGGCTTGTAAGGTATACCCTTTGGTTGGTTGACGATGCATGGAGGTGATTGTAACCATGGCAATGAAATGATATACTAGGATGAATGTAAAGTTAATGTTCTCCCATGTAAACTATCACATAAGTCACAATAAAACATTAAAAAAAAAAAGAACAACTAGATCTGTGTTGGAAGAAGTACAACCAGCATGTTCCTTAGAAGCCAAGACGGCCAGACTTCATCTCTCATATTTTGGACATATATCAGAAGTGACCAGTCCCTGGAGAGGGACATCGTGCTTGGTAAAGTGGAGGGACAGTGAAAAAGAGGAAGAATCCCCCCAATGAGATTGATTAGCACAGTTGCAGCAACAATGGGCTCAAGTGTAGCAGCAGTTGTGAGGATGGTGCCGGACCAGACGGTGTTTCGTTCTGTTATACATAGTGTTGCTATGAGTCGGAACCGATTCAATAGCACTTACAACAAACTTCTTGTTGTTGTGTGCCGTGGAGTCAGTTCCGACTCATAGCGACCCTGTACAGGGTTTCTGAGGCTGTAAATCTTTACAGGAGCAGAAAGCCTCATCTTTCTCCCACAGAACAGCTGGTAGTTTCGAACTACTGAGCTTGAGGTTCGCAGCCCGACTTGTAACCACTATGCTACCAGAGCTCCTCTACAACAGATTAAAAGGAAACAAAACATCTACGTAAATAACTATAGAAAAAAACCCAAGGAGTTGATTTTTCTGTTTTACTCTTCTGTGAATAAAATCCTGGTTTTCTGGCATTGTGTATTTATGAAAATCTGATCCTTATTTCCTTATTCATTTTACAGATCTAAAATAGCATGGATCTGCCTGTGGATGAGTGGAAATCGTATGTACTCAGGAAGTGGTCTTTGCTTCCAGCGTCCATTCAGGTCACAATTTCTTCTGCAGGAACTTTGAATGATGTATTTCTTCACTGCTGTTTGCTTCTTCAGTAAGTGACCAGAAGTGATATGGAAAGCTTCTCTTTTTTATTTACTCTGAAGTAATACCTGTTTTTTTGTGGAAGGATTCAGTTCAGGTTTTTCTATTTGGGTAGTATTCAGCAATTGTTCTTCTGTTTTCTAACCCACAGTTTTAGAATAGGTAAGGACAACTATTGTGCATTCTTGATATCAGTGTTATATTTCAGTAATTCAGTGCCTTGCTACATAGTCACTATGCTGTGAACCCTGCCACCTCCCAAAGGACATGATAGAGAGTTGCTAGCTGTACCTGGAAATTTTTAAGTGCTCAAATTTGGAAAGAACTTTACAGGTCACATAATTTAACTCCAGTAGTTTTCAAACTCTCTTGACTGTATCTTCAGTGGGTGGTGGTGGCTGCTTATTCTCATAAAGGTTTGTTGTTGTGTGCCGTGGAGTCGGTTCTGACTCATGGCGACCCTGTACAGGGTTTCCGAGGCTGTAAATCTTTACGGGAGCAGAACGCCTCATCTTTCTCTTGCGGAACAGCTGGTAGTTTCGAACTGCTGATCTCGCGGTTCGCGACCCGATTCGTAACCACTACGCTACCAGAGCTCCTTGTATCTTCAGTAAGAAGTATATTTTATAACATAGCCTATTATACACATACATATGTTAAAAACAGACAGGAATTTACTGACCCATTTATTCATTCAGTAAATATTAATCATCTATAGGAGTCCTGGTGTGGCGCTGTGGGCTGACGCATCAGACTGCAAAGTTGTTTGAACTGCAAGGTCGGTGGGTCAAGCTCACCAGCTGCTCCTTGGAAACCCTATACAGGTCGCTATGGGTCAGAATCGACTCGACAGCACTTCACAACAACAATATGCTGTACTAGGCACTGTGCTGGATGCTTAGAATATACTCGTGAACAAAATACACAAAGATCCTTACCTTTGAGGAGCTTAATTCAAGCAAGGAGGGACAGATAATAAATACCACAAATTATATGATAAGTTAAAAGTGCTAAGTACATTGGTGGTGGTGGTATGCTGTGGCCCCTGTCCGTGTAGAACTTCCAAGACTATAAATCTCATCTTTCTGTAAATTCGGAGGTAGAAAGCCTCATCTTTATCCCATGGAGCTGCTGGTAGTTTTGAAGTGCTGATCTTGCAGTTATCAGCCCAACTCATAACCCACTACGCTCCCAGAGCTCCTTGATAAGTACAGTTGTTGTTGGTAAATACTGTGGAGTCGGTTCCGACCCATGGCGACCCTGTACAGGGTTTCTGAGGCTGTAAATCTTTACGGGAGCAGAAAGCCTCATCTTTCTCCTGCGGAACAGCTGGTAGTTTCCAACCGCCAACCCTGAGGTTAATAGCCTGATTCGTAACTGCTATGCTACCAGAGCTCCTGATAAGTAAAGTAGGAAAGAAAAAAGAAAGAATAGTAACAGAGAAGTAGGTAGTGCCAGAAGCAAGAGTACAGGTGATAGTATTAAGTTGTTGTTGTTAAGTGCCGTGGAGTTGGTTCCGACTCATAGCGACCCTGTTTAGGGTTTCCGAGGCTGTAAATCTTTTCGGGAGCAGAAAGCCTCATCTTTCTCTTGTGGAATAGCTGGTAGTTTTGAACTGCTGACCTTGAGGTTCACAGCCTGATTTGTAACCACTACGCTACCAGAGCTCCTTTAAAGTATTAAGTAGGGGAATCAAATTATAACTCATTGAAAAATTGAAACTTGAGCAAAGATTGCAAGTAAGAGAGTTATCAAAGAAGTTAGCTAAGATACAAGCACTTTAGACATAGACTGGGGCAGAGACCCTATTTTGGGATTGTGTCTGGCCTATTCAGGGAATAGCAAGGAGGCCAATGTGGATGGGCAGAGTAAGCCAGAGAGACAGTCGTAAAATGTAAGGTTAGAGATATCAGTTGGGCAGATATGGGCATTGGGGGCAGGACACAGCATAGACCATGTAGTGCCTTATGTTTTAACTCTGAGTAAGAAGCAATTGCAGGGTGTGGTAGGCAGAATTCTAAAGATCCCGCCCCCCAAAAATTCTTATCCCCTGGTTATTCAGTCCAACTCTAACCTGGCAACTGCTATGAAGATGTAATTAAAGTCCCAAATCAGTTAACTGAGATACGGAGGTTTTCTGAGTGTGCCTTACTGAATTAGGTGAAACTTTAAAAAGCAAAGCATTTCCCCCAGCTGTTAATGGAAGGGGAAGTCAAGTTCAAAGCATGAGAAGGATTCAGTACACTATTGATGGTTTTAAAGATGCAGGGAGCCGTATGACAAAGAATGCTAGCATGTTCTAGAAGCTAAGAGTGGCCCTTGCTGACAGCTAGCAAGGAAATGGGGACCTCACCTACAACCATTAGGAACTGGATTCTGCCAATAATCTGAATGTGCTTGGCCAGTGGATTCTTCCCCAGTTCGTCAGACTGAGACCACCTAGATTTTGTCCTTGTGAGACCATAAGTAGAGTATCCAGCCAAGCCTGCCTTGATTCTGACCCATGTAACAGTGAGAGAATAAATGCGTTTTGTTTAAAGCTGCTCTAAGTGTGTAGCAATTTGTTACACAACAATAAAAAACTAATGCTCATGCGCAGAGTTTTGAGAGACGAGTGATAGATAGAATATATTTTTAAACAAGTCTGCAAACTAGTCTGCAGGCTCAATCTAGCCCACTCCCTATTTTTTATGGCCCAGCTAACAATAGTTTGCACAAATAAATATTTGCAACAAATTTAATGTTTTGGAACACTGACTTTTAACCCTAATTTAACAGAATGTTGCTCATTAATTTTTTTCTCATTGGTAAACCTCTATTTTAAAAATTATACTTGATTATTACATTTTTTATTTTATCAATAAAAAACGTGGAAATTTGTTTTCTTTCTTTTACCTACTTAATATCCTTGATTTTGCCAGTTGGCCTGCAAAGCTGAAATATTTGCTATGTGGTCCTCTTTAAGAAAAAGCTTACTGCCCCCTGTTTTAAAGAATTGCTCTTCCTGCTGTGTTGAGGATAGACTATAGGGGAGCAAGGAGAAAGCAGAGAAACCTGTTAGGAAACTATTGCATTGTTCCAGGTAAGAGCTAAGATGATAGAAGCACGGACCAGGGTATTAGCCATGATTGGTGAGAAGTGGTTGGATTCTGAAGGTAGTGTCAATAGGATATCCTGATAGATGGGATTTCGTGTGTTAGAGAATGAGAGAAATTAAAAAAATAACTCTAGGGACTTTAGCTTAAACGGCCACAGGTGGAAGGATAAAATTGCCAGTGTCTAGGAAGGCTGCAGATAGAGATGTTTTGGGAAGAAAGATTAGGAATTTACATTTAGACATGTTGAAATTGAGGTGTCTCAATGAGTAGAGTTTAGGAGGCAGGCCTGAGGTAGAGATATCAATTTGAGAATTGTACATCACTTTTATAGGCATGACACTGAATGAGCTCACCAAGGAAGAGAGTGTAGAGGCTTACTAAATGTGATGCACTTGGATGTTTTCTACTTCTCATTAAAAAAGAAAATGCTAATCCAGTCCTATGAAATTGATTTCATGACCCAGTGAGATCTGCAGTTGGAAAAACAATGTCTAGAGCACTATAAAATCTGTCGATTGCCTTTATAGAATTTCTAAAAATGATAGAACCTCTGATGAAAATTTTGGGTAATGCGCAGAGTTTTTCCATGATAAATTGATATCGTTTACTAACAGCAAAGTCATAATCCACAAAAAACTATTTGGATATTTCAGTGCACTTTAAAAGGTTATAAATCAAAGAAGAATATTTGCCTAGTCATTTAATATTGGAGTTCTTCAAGTAACCAGTCTAGGTTCTTTTTTCTTCTCACTCTGTATTCTCTGCTGAAGCAATCTCTTCCACACTCATGACATCATTTATCTCAAATATACTGATTACGTTTAAAATATTAAAATATCTCTAGTTCTGACCTCTCCTGTAAGATTCAAATATCTAAATCCAGCTGCATACTAAAAATCTCAAAGATTATTAAAATTAAACATATCTAAAATCAGATTCATGATTTTGCTCTCAAAATGAGACCCCTTTCAGTGACCCCTCTATCAGTGAATTGCTCTGCCATATGTTCACTTGAAACCTACGAGCCATTCTATATTAAAAACTGAATTCAGGTTCTCTCCTCTCAACATAACACATACCTGTATCAGATCCTCTTTTGTGATCCCTTAGTGAATTGCAGAGCCATCTGTCTAGTTGCTACCCATATTGATAGCATGCTTGGTTTTTCCTTCTCTCAAACACTGCATATTCTCAAATCTTATCTACCTGCTAGGTTTCTGTCAAATTTGGCAAATAGGACCTCTGTTTCTGGGTAGGTTAGGTCATAGCAGACAAATAAAAAATATAAACTGGAATAAGCATATTTTTAAAGACATCAGAAAGCAATAAGGACAATATAGCTAAAATTCCATAGAAGGAAGACTTTCCTAAGTGATCACCAGTTGTTTTCTTTCACAGGGCGGTAATTGCAATCTGGCGATCAGACTAGTCCCAACCTTAGAGAAACAAACAAGCAGACCTTTTGGCAATTATTTGGGTCTGATGTGGTAGATTGGAAATCAGAAGAGAAACCCAAACTTAAGGCTGAAATGCACAATTGGCTGTCCTTTGACGTATTAGTTCACTGTGAAAGATGTTATTAGCTTCTATACAGCTGCTACCACAACATCAAGAATGTAGTAAAAAAATTACTTAGCATTGAAAGAGGCATGAAAATGAACAATTCAAAGAAAAAGTGGTAGTGTGCCATGGTGTCAGTTCCCACTCATTGGGATGCTGTATCCAAGGCTGTAAATCTTTATGGGGAGCACAAAGTCTCATCTTTCTCCCAACGGAATGGCTGGTAGTTTCGAACTGCTGACTTTGAGTTTAGCAGCCCAACTCATAACCACTACACTATCAGAGCTCCTTAAAATAAAAAGTAGACATTAGAAATAGGCCAACTAATGGAGTCCTGGTGTGGTGCTGTAGG